AATAAAAACAAGTCTTATATCAGTGAGTTGAATTATAGCGAACAACCACGCAGTTTTGAAATGGCGGACTGTTCCCTTCAGAGCACGGTCACTAAAAAACAGTGAGTACTAAGCTGCGTCAAACTTTTCAAATATTACCAACAAAATTATGACTAAATCATCTCCATTTTTGAAAAGATATTATTTATTTTTTATTTTTAGAAACTAGACTTTTATTAATTTCATATTATGTGAAACCAGTTTTAAAGGAATGAGGTCATTACTCCATGTTGTCAACTGGGAGTTTGTAGTTTGAGTTCTCAACATATCCCCATTAATATATATGGCCATATACCAATACAGATAGGGTTTCTTTAACGACGTTGTAAAAACATGAACAGTGGGCTTTGTCAAACATAGAACTAATGATTTAAATATCTAACGTTTTAAATAATCGAATCAATGGTAATGATTATTACATTCGTGGACATTCATGTAAACTAAGTCGTCTGTACTACGCTGAACTAATCCAGTTTTCAACATGGTAAACGAATGTACATGATTTTTTCTTTTTGCTGTCGTATGTGGCGCACGTACATACATCCACCTGCTACGTTAAAGATCATAGTACAGAACAAACTATCCAAGCCATTCACTGTCAAGTCAGCGAGCTACACACATGGAGCTCCATGCTGCACAGAAACCCCGTGTAACTCAGCGAACATCGTTCTGTACACATACAGATAGTCGCATTATAGAGTTCATGATACAACAAATAACAAAACTGCTTACATACTGTTAAAATGTCGAGTTGCACATTCCCACTTTAAAATCGCTTTTCACCCGTCTTTTAACATTATAAATTTCTACTGTTCATAATACACATAATGCCTTCATTCACAATTCTGCAAAACGTTATAGTTCGAGTGTATTAAAAGACTGATTTTTAGTTTTCAATGACTATTAAAATGAGCATTTATTTATATTTGAGCGTAATTCATCATTTTGCTCTGCTTTTGAAATAACTCGCTGTTTTATACTACTTTTCAAGTTGTTACCTATCCATGGACATATTTGCCCGTACGCGTGAAATTGTGTGTTCTTTGCTGGAAATTCAGTGGATGCGCATTTTAGGTGGTTGTGCACTGATCCATGGTTACCATAGTTACACTTTTTCAGTAACCGTGATGGTTACTAACCGTGACTGATCGAAGGTTCAGTAGTGAATGACTTGTTTGTTTGCTCATGGGATTATAATGGGCATTGCCTTCCTAACGGATATAATCTCCAAAGCAATTCTAATACAGGTGACGTCCACACATGACGTCATAAATCAACATAACAGCTTGAATGAATGACACATGCGATTATAGGTTCAATTTCATGAATTCCAATTTACCGTCCAAATTATTCAATATTGAGACTATTACCGAGCAACTTGAAGTGGTGATGCAGTAGTTATTTCTTGAATACTCTTTAGCGTAAGTTTGTACATATATATTTTTTAATTTATTTCAAAATGGTGATATTAACAACAGGAATAACGTGTCATATTTAAAACATGTATATTTGGTCGCAAAAAAGCATCGCAATTATGATTGCTCCGAATCCAGTTATTTCCATGATTTAGTTTACGTAACTGTCAAAATTACGCCTAGACGGATTTTTACAAACAGTAATCGTTAATCTCAAATACCAATAATCCATTTAACATACGAAGAAAGGCAATTACTTAATTCGTTAACACTAATCTCATTTTCAAATGCAGCACAAAAGTAATCTCTATTAACGGTATATATTATATCTAAAGACATGAACTCAATTTTAAAACCCTGCTAGCATGGTGTATCACACATCTAAAGAATTATTAATGAAAAAAGCACACTTTTTGAAAAGTTTGATTCCAGTGGTTTAGAAATTATGTATATTTACTACGGATATTACATATCCACATATTGACAGTATTATTTTATCTGTGTGTGACCTGAAAATGACATATGTCGTCATAGAGTATTTGTCATTCGTTCTCTGCATATGCCACCAATCTCCATTAATACCAATCAGACCAGTCAGACTAAACCGCATTGAAATTATCTTATACTAAATTGGTTAGCCCGTCACATAAGTGAAAAAAATGACTACGTTATAAACATCGTATCGTGACGCGCCTGATACTAGTGTGTTGTTGCGGTTATTTTGTGCGTATGTCGCGGTGTTAAAAAATAGGTAGGTATGCTATACGTACCAGTTTATCTCGTCTGTGGATATTGAATCTGTGTGAGAAATGTTTCGGTATTTCGTAATAAAAATATTCATAAATAACACATAGTGCCCGTGATATTAAGCATGTTGTGCTATTGTGTGGACGAGTGTCAAGTCGTGTCACGCTGTGATATTTTATCAAATGATGGCAGTCCACCATTTGCTGAACACATATGACATGAAAGTAATGAACTTGATCATTTATGAATTCAATGCTTTATTAATATGTCTATCTACTGAATATGTAACGCACATTTCAAAAGTTAAAGGGTGGTGGACGTCGCGCTGCGCATGTTCGAATTTCAAGTAAATAAACAACAATAAAGGACGCGGCACGACGACTGCCGCCCTTTAAGTTCAGTCAATAAAACCTTTTGATTTTTAGAAAAAATACACTGCTAAATATGCCGACCATGCTAAGAAATTGACTTCAAACATATTTATCTTTATTACATATTTATAATCATTATTATGAATAATATATGCGTTATAGACGCAATTCTGCGCAATGTGTACTTAAGACACTGACTAATGTTTTTTCTCATCCTTTGTTAGAGACATAATGCCCAATGAAGCATTTAGGAAAGTTAATATATAAAAAGGGCTTGTGTAAGATAGACTCCCTGAGCTGGCTCCCTGGGGCACTCAAATCTACTAGTTTTTTGTCCGGAACCGGATTCTGAATCTCACTATTGGACTCATTATCCTAACAAGCTCGTCTATTTCATTGTTTTTATTTTCGTACGTGTATCGATTGGCTGGATACGCCTGAGGAAGAAATGTAGCATCTTCATTCTCTCTGTACTAAATAAACAACATCTTAATATTAACGCACTAATCAAAGTGAACACAGAACATATTAATCATTAAGGACAGAATAAATGTAACTAATAAGCACACATAATATTGTACGAGTCAGGTGAAAATGTGTAAAATATAATCTACTGTAATGAGTCGAATTATGCATAATTAAAGATTGCGATAGTGGAGTGAAGGCGAGTCGATTTTAGGCGTTCTTTCGAAAAGGGTCACATTCGATAATCTCGCATGTAATATTACGTGGCTGGTATGTACCTATAGTAAAGAACATTTCAGCTCAATCAAGTTCATCTTTCGAAGATATGGCAACTTACTAGATTGTATGATATGTTAATTACAAACGCGACATATTAGTAAAAATCAGCATTTACCAAGACAACAGATAAATTTAGTACTAGTAAATTGCAACACAGACACATTGTTATACCAACAATATTGTTTCACAAGTCATACCATCTCTCTCTCTCTCTCTCTCTCTCTCTCTCTCTCTCTCTCTCTCTCTCTCTCTCTCTTCAATTACATCACAAAAATTACGCACCAAATCGGACCACTTCAAGTAATGTTAGTTCCTGGATTATTTTTTCTAACGCTCATTCATCATAAGCAATACAATGTTGAATAACCTAATTATGACTTTGTACATTAGTCATATTCATAGTGCATTGTGTATTTCATCTACATACAGTTTAAGTCTATGGTAGTGTACATTTCACCCCACCTCGGGACAGCGATACTTATATTAATATTTTGCAATATCATAGTAAATTGATTATGTTAATTAGAAGATAATGTATTCTTGTTATATCAAAATGAAACGTTTAGCTTTCCCTTGTGTTTGAAATGTCTTTTTAGAACAAAATTTTAACTTACCCAATCATTGGGGCAGTAACGTACACGTCATTTTAAGGATATTACGTAACATCTGGCTAACTTAATGAAATATGAAATCGAGACAACCCCATAGTATGAAATACGTGTATACAGTACATGTATGTTAAAAATGTCTAATCAATGCAGTTTGGAATTAGTATATTGTCTTTATTACTGAAAAGAAAACATTAATACTTGCAATTTATAAAGCTATTGGTAGTAAGTAATTGTACTCCTTGTTAACTGAATTATTCAATATTCTTTCTTGATGATAGGTATGAATAGAGAAAGAATACTTTGTCCGAAACGTCTGGTTATTTTGATTATATAATTATTAAGGACTACAAATACCTTTTATCCTTTGCTTTATAATATAATTATCGATCCCAGCAGCTTTCATTACAACGTCGCCGTGGTGTTACCAACATTCCTCAGTACACATCAATATACAGTGTATGGTTTTATATACAGTGTATGGTTTTATATGCAGTGTATGGTTTTATATGCAGTGTATGGTTTTATATGCAGTGTATGGTTTTATATACAGTGTATGGTTTTATATGCAGTGTATGGTTTTATATGCAGTGTATGGTTTTATATGCAGTGTATGGTTTTATATACGGTGTATGGTTTTATATGCAGTGTATGGTTTTATATGCAGTGTATGGTTTTATATACGGTGTATGGTTTTATATGCAGTGTATGGTTTTATATGCGGTGTATGGTTTTATATACAGTGTATGGTTTTATATGCAGTGTATGGTTTTATATGCAGTGTATGGTTTTATATACGGTGTATGGTTTTATATGCAGTGTATGGTTTTATATGCAGTGTATGGTTTTATATGCAGTGTATGGTTTTATATACGGTGTATGGTTTTATATGCAGTGTATGGTTTTATATGCAGTGTATGGTTTTATATACGGTGTATGGTTTTATATGCAGTGTATGGTTTTATATGCGGTGTATGGTTTTATATACAGTGTATGGTTTTATATGCAGTGTATGGTTTTATATACAGTGTATGGTTTTATATACAGTGTATGGTTTTATATGTTTTAGATTCACTATGTGGCAAGTAACAATTATATTTGCTGTGACAATTGTTCGTGTGTGTTCAGAGACTATCAGAGAACTTGACAACAGCAACATGGTAAGTACACATTCAGACACATTGTAACAACTGAATGCGTGCATGGTGGGGGTCGCCACATTGGTTCGCAAATTTGTACATATCAAGGGTGAACAGATGCTGCATGTTGGTGATTACAGATAAGTATTCGATCGGTGAAACAATGATTATGCAAGTGCTCTGATTATTTTGCTCCGTGGTCGTTTCTTTCATTGTTAACTGTAGTACTGATGCAAAGGTGGTGGTGGTGGTGGTGGGGGGGGGTCTTGATTGCACATTTCGGACTGTAATGTTGGCTATTCACAAACCACACAAAATCAATTCACAAGGAATAAAGCACAGTTATTTGTTCGATATATTTTTCTGTGGGTAACCTGGCCAAAAATCAAAACCGGAGTTACGACGTTCGCGCGTTATACTGATCAAAACATCACGAATTTCGCTGTTTATCGACGACGGAAGTTGTGTTTTGTCTTCACTGCAAGAAATCCCATCATGCATTGCTGAAATACACATTCACCATAGTACACATACATTTTAATATTTTAATTTTGCAGAAAATACAACATTTAGTGTTTGTAGATATACACACTGTATTGTGTTTTATCCTTGTTAAAACACGCAAACACATAATGTGCATATTGGAGTCATGAATAATGAATTTGAATTAATAGTACGTACAAATAATTCAAGACGCATGCGCATTTGTGTTGTTCATCTTTTCACCAAACGAAATGAATGTTATCATCAGTTTTTGCGTAGTATTACAAAAAGTTGACGATTCATTGATATTCCAATACGGTAGTGGTTTATACAGAACGCTATAAACTGTTCCCCAGTCACTAATTACACAGACAATAATCTCGATTTATATTTTATAATTATATTTAAATTTTTACCAGGTAAAAGTCTGTAATGTTTTTACGATAATTTTTGTATTAACGTGTAATATTTGTTTTTCTCTTTTCAGCATTACTATAATAGAAAAGGTGGGTACTAGACATGTGTAGTATATCAGTCACGTGACATTTTATGACGTCTTGTTGTTTAAAGGTTAATCCCACAAATTAACTATTTAGTGATTGATTCGGAGGCAGTGGGTAATATTGTTTAAACTAGGAGGTCTTTTATATTTGTATCTGTTCAGTAACGGCACTTATTTTGGTTTTGAACGAAACATTGAACAGAAGTTTGTCTGTTTGGAATTGGCGGTTAGCAAGTGCATTTAATTACTGCTCAAGACACAAGTCTTCAATCTTTCGGAGTTTGAAATATTTGTGGGAGAAAAGCTTAAAGAACAAAATCAACAAACACGTTCTATAGGGAACCATCATGATTTTAAAGAACATTTTTCATTGCATAAGGAATTCTTAATAATTCGTGGCAGCTATGACTATTTAAAGCGGGGGAGTCGTCACCGGCGCATGCGTCAGATAGCTATAGCGTGTCATTGTTTACTAACAAGCGTCTACCCCTGAACCTTTGAGTTTTTAGCAGGTGTTGTTATCGTCGCTTGGGACTCAATTCCCGCGCGTGCAATTCATCCGCTTTAAGTTTTTTTTCTTTCCATATGTAACCGAAGGTAATTTAGTCATATGAAAAATGACCACAAAAATATTTGGATATTTGACCAGTCTTTCGTGACCACATTATTTTTCTAAGTTTGCTGAGCAATAACATGAAACAAACCCTTATTGCAAAAGCTAAACACAAATATAGTGGTTATGGTTATGTTGTAATGGCACTATTTTAAAATGGTATATGTTGTGCATTTCATAAATTTGTTCATATTTATTAAATACTAGTACTGAGCAAAAATTACAAATGTTACGTCATCAATTCTAATAACGATGCAATTATTTTTTGTAGACCACACATTCATTTTCCTGCCTTCTAGGGGATGTTTCAGTGCACATTGCGTAGTATGAACATTCTAACATTCCCACGCGTACGAATTTGGTGCCACAAATGTCATTTTGGTTCAGTATTATACACCCGAGTTATCGAGTTTTTTTTTCAAATTGGACCCCCAAATATCTTTTCCTGGTCCTCAGATTTTTGTAGATGATCATAATGTCTAATATCTCTAAATTATATTAGGTTTTCAGGTTCAGAGCGTTGCCTGTGATCCCGGTGATATGACCCTGCAATGCGATGATCGGTCCATACGCGTCATTGCGGCCAACTTCGGGCGGACGGACGAGAAGATGTGCAACACAAGCAGAAAGCCCGGCGATCTGAACTGTCGTGGCGCAAACTCTCTGAGTATAGTACGAAGTCTGTGTGAAAGAAAAGAGAAATGCGTAATTGGTGTCAATACAGATGTGTTTGGTGACGCGTGCCATGACACGGCAAAGTACCTGGACGTGACGTACACATGTGAGTACACGCATACACACTTGGCATGGTCTCAATATTTACATTAAATAATAATGAGGTCTTCTTGCTTAGCATAACAAATTCATATTTACTATTGTTGCCTTCAAACAATTCTTTAACTATTTCTGGTTCCGATCAATTCAATTATAGTGGGATCCATCACCAAATTTCACTTGCATTATATCAATCAATGAAAATAAATGGCTAGAAATAGCTATTTTGAAAAGCAATCTTATTTATTTAATTAAACTATTCAATTGTTTGGTGAGTTCGGGTAAATCGTAGGTACTTTGGATGAAACAACACGTACTGCAACTGTTTCTATAAATCGCGCCCCCTAGCGACGAACTACCATTATGACGTCAAAAGACGTCGTTTACGCCGTTGATATTGATTTGATCTGTGACCGCCCGCTAATAAAAAATACTGATTTACTAAAACAATATTAATTATATTGAAAATGATAAACGAGTACATGCCAGCTTAACAACTGTCCTTGTAGCCACCTACGTCATTATGACGTCACAGAAGCGCTTCTTCGCTAGAGGGCGCAGCTTATGGAAAAAGTGTATTGATTGTTTCAGGTTGGGGCGGCGGTGACGCTGATCCAGACATGGTCACATTCGACGGAAGACAATACCAATTCACAGGCACTTGTAAAACATACGTACTTGTCAACGATTGTGCACGTAAAACCTTTGAAATCACCGCCGATTTTCAGACAAAGAATACATCAGCGGCTGAACCGTCAACTAAGATGATTGGAATTACCATTAAGGCCAAGACGATTCCTGCGTTACATTTGCAGGAAGACAACTCATACTGGGTAAGTGATCCTAGGTATAGCGCCCTCACGTGAATTTCGGTAAAGACAATAGCAAAATTAAATGCCTTCGTTGATCGGGTAAGATATGGTTAATAATTTTTCATCTAACACTCAGCAGCAGCTAATATATATTTTTTTTAAGTAGAGAACACTTCCTTTTCGAAGGAACCAATATTTTTCTGCAACTCAGATCATTTTAAACTTTAGAAAACTCCAAAAATATTTAGTTTCCATAATCCTTTAATGGACAGGGTTGCCGCAACTGCACACGCGGGTATCCTACTGTTTTCTCGTTGTTTGTTTCACTTACATTGCGCGCTCTATATGTAGTCAATACAGCGTACGGTCGTGTATGGTAAGTAAACAATAGCTTCATCTAAAAGTTAAAAAAAATATTTTGGCTGTAATCATTTCGTATCAAACACACAACTATATAATGGACATTAAATTACCCCGAACGCTTGTAAAATGGGAACCAGAATTGTAATTGCATATTACAAAGTATGACATGGTTGGAGTGTGTACAAATCTTTTGCTATCTGAGCAGTCGCTAGGTTGGTGTGGCTTGTTAGCTTGTGTATATATCTGGTATCGATGCTTATGTGTGGGCTTTGAATGCAAACACAACGTTCAGCGCCATCAATGAGATTTGATTGACAAACCTCATTGACGGTGCTGAACATCACTTACATAAAACGTAAATTGCATTTGACCTAAATGTGATGACGCATTGGTTGTGGAATACAGAAAAAATAGACCGAATCATGCGCACTGCGTACACAATATGCAAATAACTTTTATCGAGGTTACTACGTCGACATATCATGAATATTATTGGAAATTGCAATTATTAATAGAAAGCATTTATTATGAAACGCTATAATTACGTATATTCGGTCTTGACCATCACTCTGTCTATTGTGGTAATTTGAAGACTGTACACGCTTTCTATCATACTAAACCAGACACCAAATTTAACAAGTGTTACTGGCCTTTACACTGTAAGTTTGCATCAGCGTAGGCAAGCCTAAAAAGGTTTCAAATGTATACAGCGCCATCAGTGGCTGTTCCCGGCTACATGCGTCTAGTTAAAATCGGGCGCTGAAAGAAAGTGAAATTAACATAGTCTTGTTTACGAACATATGGGCAATTTTACATTCGCACTGCCTTAACAACCATCTAAAATTAGTTGCTATGTAAATATTCATGTTTCCACACACTGTTCCATCACCAAACCACGCACTGTTTTTTCATTCAGATAGGTGGTAAACTGTACAATGACACCGTCACTATCCTTGGCCATGACATGGTTTCCATTAGAAAAGAAGGTAAACATCTGGTGGTGCATATAAAAAAGCCAAAAATCTCCGTCATCTGGAACGGAAAGCCCAACAAAGTCATGGTATCCCTGAGCGACACACAACTGACCGGGAGTATATGTGGAATGCTGGGAAACGCAGACGGAAATCCCAAAAATGATTTCATTAAAACTGACAAAACGAGGACATCCGATGCTGCCGAATTTGGTGACAGTTGGGCTGTACCCGGAAGGTAGACTATATTATTTACTAATTTATTGATTAATTATCTGTTGTTTAGAATATACTGACCAAAGACGTAATTACTGTGAACCTCACACGTTGTATTATATGATATCAGAGATACATTACTTGGGGTTTGCAACGCGCGTAGTGATGTATGGTGACATTATGCCAAGATCCCATTCAAGTCTCATCTCGTAGATGGCGAGACTGATGCTACGACCTTCTGACATGACATAGGTGGTTTGTAATAAAACATGTATTATCATATTCATAGTGAAAAAAATGAATACATCGAAAATGTACAGAAAATATAGTTAACGTAATCCGTCATATCGTGAGCAACTATTTTGATTCACCTGGACATCCCAGTATCCTAGTTACCTCGGGCATGCGCATTCGCATTTTTCTGAGTTGGAATGCTTATGCGAGAGCGAGATTGAAACGCGATCTTTGTATTATGTCACTGTAGTTGCTAACCCCAAGAAATGTACCTCTGATGATATAGATGTGCCAAACCACTGGTGTGTGAAGTTTATCACGTTTTCGACCTGAAATTAATTCACCATTGGTCGTTTATCCTATTTTGGTTTTTGGCTCAACCGTAAATTAATTAACAAACGCAGCGTTTTTCGAACGAAGTCGGATACATTTGTATTTTACAAAAGAAACCCCGGATAACAACGCATTTGACTTCACGAATTCAATTTCCTCCGCCAAGGAGGTTACGTTTATCGTTCGTTGGTTTGTCTGTAAGCAGTTATGCATTGATTGGTAGTGATGTGAAAACAGCATTTCTCATTTATAACGCTAACCGTTCATATATGGATTCTTATGATATTTTCAAGTTGGGTTGCCCTTGGTATATATTCTTGTCATGAAAAAAAACAACAACCTTCAACACCATTAAGTGAATAGCGCTATTCAAGATTACATTTTGTCTTTTTTCCCAAAGAAATTGAAGGCTTATGTTAATGTGCTAAATAGTGATTGTTGTAAGAAAGATTGTTTACAATTGGGTTGATATATTAAGGTAGAGATGCAGTTTACCTGACAGGTATTTTAATTAGTTAATTAGGAAACCAAGATGATCTCCCTTGGCCCCCAAAACTATATATTTTCGGAAAGCTTATTGTATGAATTTTAAAATTTTGTTAGTATTTTTTTTATGGACACTGTAGTTTGAAATATGCACAAAAATGTGATTTTTTGGTCAAAAGTGATTTAAAAAAAATAGCCCGTTTCCTGTCAAAATTGGTTTATGGGTACATCTGTGTACTATGAAGAAAGCGCCGTCTTGAAAAATTTCTACCAGTTGTCAATTTTGTAGGGCGGCAGCTCAAATTTCGCTACTTCAAGTTTATGCATAAATTAACACCCAGGCTAGTTGTCTATACGATTGTTGTAACAATGTTCAACAAAATATGTCAATCATTTGTGAAAATTTCAAAACAAAAGGTCAAAGCGTCTAGGAGCTATTTTTTTAAAGTTCTGGGATGTGCACTAAAAAGAAACTGAGATAATTGCTAATTTGCATAACATTTCACTCAGTAAGAAGTTTGCTAATGCTCATAATTAAAATGGCTGTAACAGTTCCAAATTTAAATGTATTATCGTTTTGTTAAATGTTAAATATAGTGCATAATATGGAGATCCCGTCATTCCTTTTTTGCACCATGTTTCTTTTTTATTATTTATGTACATCCTTGCTAAATCTTGTTAAGCATTCAAAAGAGAGAATGTTTGAACCTGTTATCTATATTTTAAAATCGTTTTTTAAGTATGTTCCATTATTCACAATTCTACAAAATTTGAACAGTCTTTAGCCAAGACTGTTTGGATAATAAAAAGCAAAAAAAAATCACTCCCAAGTGCCCACGAACCTGCATCTCTACCTTAAGGAGAATATGCAAGTAGTATTAATGGCGGAGGTTTGCGCACTCGGTGTGACTTCTCGTCTATTATTCATTTATCCGGAAAGTAGTAGTTATAAACTCACTAAACGCCACTCTTTTGATTTTCCAGCTGTTCCACAGTGAAGGAACTTTGAACGTCAAAAAATTAGTTTGCTTACAAGATAGTTTCTACAAATTTGCTGGTGAATACAAGTCTACGAATGCAAGAATATAGAATCCAAGTTATTGGGTCAGAAGAGAAAAGTAACGTGTTTTATTTACAGAGACAATCTACTGAATTGTGTTCATGAACAGACACGTGTTAAAACAAATATCTGCAGTCCGTGTTAAATATTATTGTTTGTGTTGAAATATCACGTGTATAAGTCTGCCCTTCAAGTTATGGTCTATGGTCTACCTATAAATCACGCCCCCTAATGACCATGTGTTTCTGTGACGTACATAGGTATAAACCGTTGACAGAGTCGTTATTGCTTTCATCTGCGGTCGTCGATTATACAACGACATTTAGTTTATTCTTAATGGTGAATGACCACACAGCCGAGCAAAGTTGTCAATTTCGACTTCACAAAAACGCGTCGCCGATAGAGAGCGCAGCCTATAGTAAAGTTTATTTTTTGGGTAGAATGTCTTGATATTGTATTGTGATATTAAATAGGGAGTAAATTATATAGACAATAAGTGAGAATAAATAACATCCGAGCATTAATATCGACCTTTATTTTGAAGTATTTGTGACAACGACATTTAATTTACTTACTCGGAAGTCGTTTTGAAAAGTGCCTTTTCAAGATGGCTGACCAGCCAGTCTCTGAGTCCTTATGTTCTAATCCTTAGTCCACTCGTGTGTTGCGCACCTGTACGAAGATAACGGCTATTCTGCTTGTCACAAGTGTGGCCTTGTCTGTTCACGGATGAGTCCCAAACCATGAAAAGGAGTCAGCATTGGCGTCATATAGAGATGCCTAACGCCACTATGTGTGTTTATTGTATGTACAATCATGTTAACGC